TAAAATGGTTAGGTTGCTAAGCAAACCACTATGAAAAAAAAAGTGGGACAAATATGGGGACATAGAGCTCATTGTTCTGAACAAGTGTATTTGTCCATATTCATTCATGTTATGGCAAAGTTTCAGTGGCAAGGAGCTTCGAGGGTAAAGGATTTGGGACTCCAAGGGCTGTGGAGTCCCAGCGTTCTGTCACACCCCGGCCTTGATAAATATTATATGATGGTGGTGATACCTTTTGTGTGATATAATTCATTGTTTCAATAACTAATGTCACCAGGGCATGTTTCTAAGAGTACTGAAGGTAAATAATTTGCTGTAATTACCAGGGAGGAGTGATATTATTTATTTAAAAAGTGGGTTCTTTGTGAAAAGTAACTCAGTGCCCCAAATGCAGAAACTGTAATTTGCTAAAAATTAATGAGTAGCACCACTCATTTTATATTTATATATATATATAATTTTGGTATCATTAATATACAATTACATGAGCAATATTGTGGTTACTAGATTCCCCCTATTGTCAAGTCCCCACCACATACCCCATTACAATTGCTGTCCATCAGTGTAGTAAGGTGCTATAGAATCACTACTTGTCTTCTCTGTGCTATACTGCCTTCCCCATGCCCCACCCTACATTATATGTGCTAATAGCAGTGCCCCTTATTCCCCTTCTCTCTCCCTTCCCTCCCATTCACCCCAATCCCTTCCCTTTGACAACTGTTAGTCCATTCTTGGGTTCTGTGAGTCTGCTGCTGTTTTGTTCCTTCAGTTTCTGCTTTGTTCTTATACTCCATAGATGAGTGAAATCATTTGGTACTTATCTTTCTATGTCTGGCTTATTTCACTGAGCATGATACCCTCTAGCTCCATCCATGTTGTTGCGAATGGTAGGATTTGTTTCCTTCTTATGGCTGAATAATATTCCATTGTGTCTATGTACCACATCTTCTTTATCCACTTATCTACTGATGGACATTTAGGTTGCTTTCATATCTTGGCTATTGTAAATAGTGCTGCGATAAACATAGGGATGCATATGTCTTTTTGAAACAGGGCCCCTGCATTCCTAGGGTAAATTCCTAGGAGTGGAATTCCTGGGTCAACTGCCACTTTATATTAAATAGTTTGTCATACTCTGAAGGTTGGTTGGTTGCGGTCTCTAAAAGCCAGTAAAACTGTTAAATAAGGCCAGACTAAAACCCACATTCATTCTTCAGCTAATCCATTAAGAATTTTGGAACTTTCTGAAGTGGTATATTTGGTTCTGTGGACCCTTATTATAACACCCATGATCACACATGCATACACAGAGTGTGTCCTCTCTCACTGAATGCAGAGAAAGCTGTTCCTCATTCATTTTTTTGCATTTTCTTAGGACCCAGATAGGATAGTGACTTGCACATGAATCATCTACAAATTATTTTTCAATTTGATTTCAGGGCTATTTTTCAATCTTTGTAATTCACAGTAATTTTTTAAATTTAAGTTTTATTGTTAAGGTTATACAAATGAAAAGTCATGTCATTTTGTAAGACATACTCATTAGGAAAAAAAGAAATACCCCTATCCTTCCACCCCTATTTCTTCTCTCCAGAGACAACTGCTAAGGACACCTTTAGATGACCCCTATTACATGTTATCATGTTTTAACTACTGTGTATATGCTGCTGCTTGTTGGCTTTTCTCCATTTGAGGAATGATTTATTGACTCCCTCAGTGGGAGATGAAGCTTTAAAATTTTGAATACCTCTTCTCTCCTGTCATGCATACTTCCTATCCCCCTACTTTCCCAAAACAGATGTGTTTTATTTTAGTTATACCAGTATTTAGTGCTCCTGTTAATATGCTTACATAAAAGTTATTCACAGATGTGAAGTATATTATGATTAGATTTTTTTTTCTTTTCAGCTAATATTTTGCTTTTCCTAGAGTTTTTTCATTTGCTTTGTGTTCTCTGTGTGCTTGCTGGTCCAGCCTACAAGCTCCTTCCCAGTGGTGCAATTCTCTTCTCAACATGTTCACACTCATTAGGTGTCTGTAAATTTCATCTAGTTAGTTCACCTCTCTTAGAGCTTCCTTGCTTGTTAAGTTCCTTGTAAGCTCCCTGCACAGATGTCTTCCCAGGTCTTCCTTTTTCATCACCATGAAAATTCTCTATGTTCTTACATTAGACCCTATGTCTTCCTTTTTCCTGGCTTACTCCTTCATTTTGGTGGAGTACATCTTCCGACAGTTTCCTTACAGAATACATGCATGAGAAATACATTTTTTGAGGTTTTATGTTTCTGGAAATATCTTAATCCTATTTTCATACTTTTTTTGGTTTGGCTGGTTATAGAAATGGCTTGAAAGTGATTTCCTCTCAAAATATTGAAGGAATTGCTCCATTGCCTTTTAACTTCAGTTTTTGCTGTTTTAAGTCTGGCCATCTGTGACCATTTCTCCTCTCTAAATTTGCAGGATATTTCTTTGTCTCTAGGTTCTGAAATTCCCTGGTGATATGCTATGCACTATAGTGGGGCTCGTAACCCCCCAAGATGCTGGTCACTCAGTGCGTCCTTTGACTTTGGAACTCAGGTCTTCAGCTTTAGAAAAGTTTCTTGAATTGTTTCTTTGATCTCTTCTCCATTTCACTATTTTCTCTTTCTTGAGTTCCTCTGGGTTTTTTTTTGAAGAGGGGAGGAAGAGGATTTGCAATTCCTGGAGTGATCCTCTGCTTTCTTGAGTGTTCTCTCCTACTTTCTTTTTTTAAAAATCTCCCCCTAATTTTTAGGCTTTTTTTGTTTTCAACTTTACTATTATTGTAATCATTACTTTCTATGAGTTCTTTTTTTCCCTTAATATTTTATTGTTTCATCGATTTAAAAAGATCTCACATCTCTCTGGATATTAACAAAAACTTTTAAGTTTTCTTCTCTCTGGAAAGCCTCTGTTTCTTCCCATTTTGCTTTGTTCTACTTGCTTATTTATTATATTCTTCCTATTAGGTACTTTTCTCACTGGCTAGTAACTCTGCTCCCTGCTCACCAGCGGGCTCATTGGAAGCTTGCTTGGTGGTAAAGGGCTTGCCAGCCATGATATGTACTCAAGTAATAAGCCTGGGGCATTTCACTGGGAAATACTAGACAAGCTTCGCCATTTTCTGCCTGGAGGCTCTGTCCCTAAGGGACTGCCTGGAAAATCAGTAAAGGAAAAAAAGGCTTGGGGTCTGAACATTCAGTATATAAAGTTTCAGTTAATCTCCATTTTTCATTATGGTGCCTCTAACCTTCTAATCTTCTGCCTCTGGTCTCTACACCCCCATTCTTCTGCCAGGGATGACCATGGGGGCACATTATTTAGCAACTGATATGCCAGTGAGGGGATTATGGGGATCAGATCACTTTTTAAAGAGACTTTCAACCAATCCTTATTTTATTCTCATTGTCCGTATTTATGTGTGTTACTGGACTGTCATTTTACTAGGGTTGCAATAGGAAACAGATTTTAAGCAGGACAAAAATGGAGGTTGATTTTATTTTTGGTCTATGGGATATGTTTCATCAGATTTAGAACATTCTTAGCCATTGTCTCTACCAATATAGCTTCTGCCTCGTATTTCTGAGTCTAATTGCACATATGTTAAAGCCTTCTACTGTTTCACATGCTTTATTTTCTGTATTTTTCCACTTTTCAAAATTAGCCTTCATTTTGTGTATTTTTCCATTTATGCTTCCAATTTACTAATCCTGTTTTTTATTTTATCAAGAACTGACATTGTATTTAGAACAAATTCTCATTTGATTCTTTCTTACATATATTCTAGTGCTTTGTTAAATTATCCACTTTTTCATTTATTTTCTTTCTCTTTCTCCCTATTTTCTTAAACATACTGATCATACTTATTGTAAGGTTCTTACTAACTTACTTCAAAATGTAGGATGACCGGGGAGTCTGTTTATAGTATCTGGATTTTTTTCTATTTTTGTGCATGTGCTCTGGCGTGCTTGGCCATTTTTCATTGCCATGACACACCCATAATGACATATTCCTCCTTATAGGGTTCACCCACCTTCTGTTAGACAAATAGAGTGGTGGTTGATTATTTTTATCCAATCAAGATTTTGCTGAAATGAGGCTGGTTTGCAGTCCTGGGAAAGCTCAGCCTATCTCTGGTTTATCCCTGGGCCTTCAGTGTCCTTTTTTGAAATTCTGGTATAATATTCACGTCCCTCCTCTTACAAGTCCCAAACTATAACCTTTTTCACATGACACTGCCAAAAACCTCCATTGTGACTTTTAGAGATTTTCTGAAATCTCTGGGGAAAAAAAACCTATCATAGAAATCAGCAAATATTCTTAACCAATATCTGTAGCATGCTTGAGGTTACCCAGGCCTCCACCAAAACTCCTCTGGTTTCTCTATCCCCCAGCAGCAGCCCCTGGGGGTGCAAAGCTGAATTCTGTCTGCACTGGTCATTGACAAATGCCCCCAAGATAAAAATGTCAACAGAAAGTCAGTTCAGCTCTTCAAGATCTTTCCTCTCCAGAGCTTAGCTCCAGGTCTCTGTGCCTCAGCTGTTCTCCTTGGGAGATGATCCCCACGTTTATCGGTTGTACTTGGCAGCGGCACTAGGCTGCTGCTGGCTACTCTCCTCCACTTGGAAGCAGAAGTCATTAAGATTGGTTTTTTTTTTAATTATGAGATTTGGGAAAGAAAGTTACAACTGTAGGATGCATTTGGAGATGTGTTGAAATGCTTAAAATCATGATTAGAATTACTTCTGTGACAGCCCTTTTGCCATGTCAGTTACTCAAGATGTTTTCTCACGTAATACAGCATATCACTAACTGTTATTGTCTGATTCCAGAAACTTCAGTGTGGGTCCATGGAGGAGTATATCTACGTTGTTTGTTTTGAATGTTAGAACTGTCTTGACTTAATAGAGACAGACAGGTATATTTTGCAGAGAAAGTATTTTGTGGGAGTTGTTGATGCAATGTATTATTTTATTTTTCAGCATCTAACATTCACAAGAGAATTTGACTCAGATTCTCTTAGACATTACAGCTGGGCTGCAGACACCTTGGACAATGTTAATCTTGTCTCAAGTCCTGTTCACTCTGGGTAAGTAACCTGAAAGTCAGTTTTCTTTATCCTATTAAGTTAACATTGCATTTATTATCTCTAGCTCTAAATTCATATTGACAAGTTTCAGATGTATGAAGTATTGAGCTTCTATAGGACTTCATTAGTGAGTATATAGGACATAGTTGTAAAGTAAGTACTGTTTATAAGCAAATCTGTACTTCTTTTTTTATTGATAAAAGTACTGTGTTAGAAAGGAAATGAAAAAGCATCAGTGCATAAAAATTTCCTGGCTATTCTGGTATTACTTTTAGGTCTTTAATTTTCCTTCACACATACAAAAAAAGATAATCATGTCTCTTGATTTTGCTTTATTCAAATGGATTTTTTTCTGAGTATCTGATTTTCCTTTCTAATAGAAAAATGAAATATGCAGGTATTTCTGTTAACTTGTCTCACTGATTGCTTTTTGTGCTTTGCTTTGAGTGAAAAAGAATTTCACTGAAATATTTAGTTTTTAAATAAGCAGTACACTGTGGTGTGGTGTCATCTATCTTTTCATACAATACAGGACTTTGATTTGACAAATGATTTGTTATGTGTGATTTTCAAGTTGTGTTAAATTACAACTAGAAAAAGGGAAATGGATTTTAAAATGAAAATAGTGAAATTCACTTTTAAAAAGTGAATGTACCAGTATATGTCAACCAGAGGGCCATGGTAAAAACCACCTCAAACAGGCTCCTGCTTGCTGCCCCGTGGGTCAGCACCACTAAGGCAGGAGGCTAAAAGGTGATGTTGTGACTACTCAGTTGATAGTCAATGTGTTTTTGGCTATAGACTTTTTCACTTGTAGATCACTAAAACTGGATAATTGATATCCATACAAATGAAATAGAAATAGTCCGTTAAGGTGATGAAAATTTCAAGGTGTTTTCACCTCTGAAATTGGCATTCTGGCCATAAATAGTTGTGATCCAGGACAGGGACAGATTGATTTGGAATTAAATAAATGAACAGCAATAAACGTTTGTGAAGTGCTATATGCATTATGTGAAGTATTTTCCACTGTTCTTTATTAAAATAAATTGTAATAGCTAACATTTACCTAGTGTTTTTCATGTACCTGGCATTGTGCTAAGTCTTCTCCATGTATTATCTTATTTAATACTTTTTTTGAAACTTAAAACGACACTATGAGAGAGGTTTTACTCATTATCCCCGTTTTGCAGACTCAAAGTCCAAGACACGAGGTAATGCACGTTATTTAAAGTATTCCTAGAAAATTGTGGCTAGTAACACCCCAGTTCTGGAAAACAAATCACTTAAGTATCATTCAAATGGAATAATTTACATGAAAGTGCTTTGTAAACTAAACTACATGGGGTCTTTGGGTCATTAACATTACATTTCTTTAACTCAATTAGTAAAACCTTTAATTATAATAATACATTTTTTTAACTGATTAAAATAGTTACATGATTAATATTGGATATGTGTTGAGTCTAAATTGCAAAAGCAAAAACCAGTCAGCATTGAGAAGGAAAATACAAAATGCTTGGAATTTATTCAATGGACAGACATATTGAAGAGTTCTTTGAATCAAGTTTGTGAATTGCCACCATGTTATAAAGGGATAGAACCAGCACTTAGTACTCTATATAGGAAATTAAAGTAATATACTAGGGCTTAATTAGCAATCTGAGAAATTGAGGGAGCAAAGGATAATAAGAAATGAACTTTCCCATACCCTGGAAACAGTGTGGTATTTGAATATGCAAATTATCACTCCTTCCCCTTGAATTTTTTGAAGACAATAAACTAATTCAGGAAAGCTAAAGAATGGCACTAGTGTAGGCTTATTTGAAAGGCAAATGCAGACTTGATACACACCTGAAAGTAATCCACTCAGGCCAGGTCTGTGAAGTCACTTATCCAGCCATTTAAACAGGCATTTTTCCAGATTGTCCCACCGATGCCAAATGCCTTGGTTTCATTTTCTGAAGGTTTTATTTTTCTTTTGCTTATCATTGACATTTTCTGTTGCTTGCTTCTAATATGACATTAATGTTTCCCATTTGCTCTCTAAATTATTTTGCAGCTATTCTTCTCCACTTCCTCAGTATGATTCAAGGTGATAACTGTGTCCTTTATGTGAACCAACCTTTTTTGTATTTTTCATTTATGTGAATTTTTCTCGCAGTTAGATTGTGTCAATGTCTGTAGTGTATCAGCATCTGTCATCCCACTGTTCCTAAAACTAGGAACATTCGTGTGTTAGTTTTAGGATCATTTGTAGAATTACTGCTTTAGTTTAAATATTAATAAAATGTAACAAGTATGATTAAACATCACCTTTTGATTTGTTTCTAAAAAGTCATATTGCATGAAATTTTATTTTGCACAGAATAAGGAATGAATTTGGAAAACAAATCACTGTATTTCGTAATGCTGTTGAATGCTAGGGCCCATAATCTGCTTAACATGAACTCCTACCTGTCCTCAGTGTCTTGGCTCTGTAAGGTTGAAAACCTTAGAGCCATAAATGATCCGTGATGAGCGCCAACTATGTACTGGGTGCTATGCACAGAGAAAGAGATTCTTCCAGTTTGTCTTTAAAACCTCCTAAACCATGTTTTTTCCATTTGGTTCTGATATTCTTTGTACCTGGGGCATTTTTATATTGACACTGACAACCTTACTGCTTCTACCTTCATTCTGCTCACCCCACAAGTGTTTTATATATACATTTTTTCATATACATATTTTTTTCATATATATATGTATATACATATATATTTAGTATTAGTAACCAGGTCTGACCTGGCAGTTTCTAAGTGCACTTAACAAAATAATTTCGTTCATAGGTTTATTCAGTAAACATTTACTGGGGGCTTATTGGGTACGATAAGTGTGCTCAGCTCTGTAGGTCAAGTGACGACCAAGGCCGACCTGATCTGAATTCCTGTCTGTACTGACCTGGGCTGTTAGCTGCCCCGGCAAAGATGGCCCTCCCAGAGGCAACACTCCAGTGTTTATTTGTACCGATACAACTGCATTTTCAAAGCCCAGAGTTTATCTTGAATCATTTTTAATCCATTCTGTTACTATTATTTGCAATCACAGTTGATTTTAACTACTAAATACTGGGATCAGATTTTGTCTTAGGCTTCTTTGTAATAATCCATTTTGTCTTCATTATTGAGTAGAAGTGGTTGATAAACATGTACATATCTAAGAATATGTAGACTCCCCAGAGCAATTTCAAGTGCTCTTTGTATCATTTAGCACTAGAGACAATTTACATGGACACTTGTGCAAGTGAACAGGTGTCTTTGACTAGGGTGGAATATTTCTGTTTTGTTTTGTTTTTGAGGATGTCAGTCTCTTCCCCTCTTACTTTGAATACTGTAGTGGTCCCAGTCTCTCAAAATACATATAATGTCATAGGAAATGTAATCCATATGAAACTGGCTAAATCCAAAGTGAGCAAAAGGGTGTGAAGTTCATTCCACCTCCCTGATGAGCGGAATTGGTTTGGAAATCTGATGGCCTGAAAGATGATCCCTGTGGCATTGCTCTTTCCATGGGAAAGGCAGGTCAGTTTGCCTTGTTGAAGAGGTTACTCTTCCAAGGTCAGGAGACATCACTCTTTAGAAAAGGGTCCCCACCTAGGACTTCCATGCAAGCATATTAGAATTGTTTTTAGATGAATAAGTAGTAGAGGATTTTGATGGATGGGTTTATTTCTCCGTAAAAAAAAATGTTATAGGTATTCAGACAATTTTCTGGTTACAACATTTAGTGTTCCAGTAATAAGCATATTTTCAGATGTGCAAATTAGAATACAAAGATATGTGTTTCTGCTCCCTTGTCTGACTTGCACTCTTGCACCGTGCTGGGCTCATTGGTTTGTGTTCCCAGAGGGCTATGTACCACTGACCACGGCAGGAGGACCCAAGGAAGCCTTTTTTCCATGGATTTCCAAGAATTCTGATATGCTATTACCTACATAAGACACAATTAATTTCATTACATTTTCATATCTACATACAAATCATTTTTCCTCATTAGCTTCACCCTAAAGGCCAGTGACAGAGTCATGTGAGTTAAAGACATTTTCTAAGAAGTCTAACTTACATTTTTGTATTGGTGTAGAGGTATTCAAATAATTACATTTTCATATCTACATACAAATCATTTTTCCTCATTAGCTTCACCCTAAAGGCCAGTGACAGAGTCATGTGAGTTAAAGACATTTTCTAAGAAGTCTAACTTACATTTTTGTATTGGTGTAGAGGTATTCAAATATAGACTAATTTAAACAGTTTGTAAAGCCAAATTTAAAAAGATTAAATCCCTTTCCATCAAAATCACCTTAGCAAAACTAGTCATCTGCTTTTATTCTTACATTCTGTTTTGTGATAGTAAAAATTAGAATGTTGGTATGATTAATTATACATTCATTTTATGATTTGTACATGTGAAGACGTACTGTGGAGTTTCATCTTACTTGTTGTGGAGGGAGATCTGTAGCCAGCCTATGGCTAAAAACACAGTTGAAGTGTCCCATGAGTACAGATTCAACAACCCACAGAGACCACACACAGTGGTTTTCCTTTTGTTTTGAAATTCATGATAGTCCTTTAAAGCCAGTTTTTATTCCATTTTAAGACATTCACTATTCCTTCAATTTAAGCATCTGACAGAGTGGTTGGCTTCTGTTAAGGGGCCATGTTCCACTAAAAATGAGGGGCCATGCCCCACCAAAAGTAAGTTGTCATGTTCCCGTTTTTGTCCAGGTCCCAGGTTAAATGCACGCTTGATGTGACTCCACTGTATTTGCTTCCAATTTATTTATAGAGAGAGGAAATGATATCTACCTTGTCTGTTGCTTTAAACTTAAACATTTAGTTTCAAAGCCTACTGTGAAGATGGTCTGTTTCCACCCTTGATTTGGCCTCTCTCTCCTCCCCAAAGGTTTCTGGTGAGCTTTATGGTGGATGCACGAGGCGGCTCCATGAGAGGAAGCCGTCACCACGGAATGAGAATCATCATACCCCCACGCAAGTGCACAGCCCCCACCCGAATCACCTGCCGTTTGGTAAAGAGACATAAACTGGCCCACCCACCGCCCATGGTGGAAGGAGAGGGATTAGCCAGTAGGCTGGTAGAAATGGGTCCTGCAGGGGCACAATTTTTAGGGTAAGTTATTTTGTTAATTTTAATCTTGGCCTTTATACCACATCTTTGATTTTCTTTGCCCTTTTTAACTCAAGTATTTAACTATTAAACTACTTAGTTGTACCATTTTGATTGACTACATCTCTCCCATAGTGTCAGAGGTTACAAAGCTATGTAATTCTATGAAGAGCTAGTAGGCTGATACTTCCTTAACTCAGCTTGCTGGTCAAAGCTTTTACTAACCGAGAAGCATGTTCTCTGCTCGGTGAGTGCACGGAACCCCAGAACCCCCATAGAAGTCAAGGCACCATTCTCAGGCAACAGTGTACATGCTGGAATTGTATCACCACATTGAATAAATGACTATATGGGGTTATATGTCTTTTTAAAGATAATTTTTAAAGAACCAATCCATTGTGATACGGTATTTGACAAAAAGGAAAAATCAATTTAATTCATGTTCTGAGGTGGCACTTGGGTGCAAATCAGACAGGCTCTGTCATGACTGACAGTTTGTTCACGATTTCCCCTTCTTGTTTCTCTTCCTGCTGCATGGATGTTATTCAGTAAACTGCATCTTCCTACCAATCCTCCCCCTGTAAATGAGGGTGAGAGCTTGGTTAGCCGAATCCTGCAGCTTGGGCCTCAAGGAACAAAATTTATTGGGTAGGATCTTTATAGACAAGATACAGAATGTCTACAATTCTTTTCCCATTTTCAATTTTTTTCTGTCACACCCATGGTCTTCTTCTTGTCTTAATTTAATTTTTACTTTTTCAGTTTTTAATGCTTTCAGTTGATGTGTGTCACTGAAAGGAAAAAAAGTCATAGTGGCTTGACTTAATGTAGCACTGCTGCCTCTCTTGTGCTTTTCAAGCATGCGGAAATCACTGTAAGCTTTCTGCTTTCATAACTGTGCTTTTGAAAACCTTTCTTTAATTTGAAAAGTTTCAACTGAATGTAACAGTTTTAAAGACAGACTGATAGTCTAAGTTTAAACCAATGTAAGAGAAGGTATTTGCAGGCTTTGAATCAACCTTTGCTATAAATGATATCTATGTGTGTGTATGTATATATGTAAATATATATACATGTATGTGTGTGAAGCTACATTATTTTAAAATTTTAAAAAGTACTTACATGTACTAAGTAACCTTTATGGTCTTTGAGAAGAAAAAATCATCAATAAGGAAACTGATTTTGAAAAACTTTGGGAATACAAGATATTCTTATAAAAAAACAAATAGGTGGTAGGTAGAATTCTGTTAAAATTACTTACTCCTTTGTTTTGTTTTTTTTTTTGTTTTTTTTAAGCTGAAACATGTTGGTTTTGTTGTCTGCCTGTCTGACTGGTTGTTCGCTCTGGCAGTCTGCATGAAGAAACCTGTTATGAAAAGTTATGCTTGGCTTCCACCTTGGTCAAAAACCCTTGTCCGTGCCTCAGTATTGCTGAATGTCATACACGAAGTCACATTCCTTCAATATTTACAGAGACAGTATCTGACGCATTAACCTGCAAAGATTGTATCTCCTTCCTCCTCCCCGCAAATTTCATGTCTAATCGTCATGAGTGACAGTTTGTTCACGATTTCCCCTTCTTGTTAAAAACTATGGTAAATATGTTAATAACTCTTGAAGTTATTAACACTTCCTGTTTCTTCCTCTCAAAAGTAAAGGCAATCGAAATGATTGTAAATCCTTAATTTGAATTAGTTACAATTATCTATTGAGAATGAAATTATCGTTTATCCCATTTTGGTTGAATGCGTTGGTAATCAAAGTCCTGTTTTTGTATTTTGATCACTATAACTACTCTCCTTTTTTTATGCTCTTACCTATTTAATTAAGCCTGTATCTTCTATCATCCCATATACATAGATAGAGAGGTTAAGAGATGAGGTTACATACAACCTCTGTAGGAGAATAACGATACTGTCTACTTAAATGCCATAAAATAAAGCTGCACAATCCAACTACATAAACTGTGTGTGATTGTGGTCTGCTTACTTCCATCCATCTTTTTTAGCATTGATCCTATTTTAAAATTTAACAAAATTATTCCTGTGCTTCATGGGTAATCTTCAATTTGCTGCCATCCTTTCACATTCTTTTGCAAAAGGACACTGTCAAAAATTAATGTCTCATGATATGAAAATTTCAAACTAACAAGTGCTTTTTCAGGAAGTTTACATATTCTCTGCAGGTTAAATGAGGGCTAGAAATTAAGCTGCCCCATTACCATTTCGCAAACTGAAAATCAGAGAAACTGAACTATACAAGCCATGAAAACTGACTGTTGGAGGGAGTGGATTGTTATATTGCTTGTTTGCTCAGGGAAAAAAAATTACTGATCTTTCAAAATAGGAAATTCACAGAATTTCATTTTAAAGAAATGACTGTGTCCTTTTAAATCATTAACACTTTGTATAATATACACCTATTGTGTTTTTAAAAATGGACCAACTTTCTTTCTTATGGTCTATTTTAATAACTTTCATTTCCTTGATTCAAAATTCCTGTTCATATGTGCTGAGTATTTTCCCCCCTGTTAAGTCAAATGCCTAACATAAGGTAGGCCCTCAAGAATTGTTTGTGAATGAATGAATGATGGCATGTTTTTGGGCTTCTAATATATTATTTAATTAGCAAATGATTCTGCAGCTTTGAAATCATTTCCAACCTTAGTGGCACCTCTGATATTTCAAATGAATACTGTTAATGAAATGTTTTTTAAAATATGATACTACAAATATATTTAATTTGATGCCAAAATAATGTGGATTTTTCTTCCAGCCCTGTCATAGTGGAAATCCCTCACTTTGGGTCTATGAGAGGAAAAGAGAGAGAACTCATTGTTCTTCGAAGCGAAAATGGTGAAACATGGAAGGAGCATCAATTTGACAGTAAAAATGAAGATTTAACTGACTTACTTAATGGAATGGATGAAGGTAATTACCATGAATCCTTGCTTCTATAAATGTCTACAGGCAGAAATCAAAGCAGTGACTTCACCAAAAGCAACAGTACTTGAATTTCACATGTTTGTATTTTAAGCTGGGCATCAGATTCCTTAGCATTTATTACTATTTCTGTATCTAAGGCATGAAGTTCTACTTAACATTTTTCCCCACAATACTAACCTACAAACATGCTGATGATTATTTCAGTCTTTAATCAAATATATCAATCTTTCCAAAACCCAAGAAAATTTTCAATGAGAAAAATGTGTAAGGAGGGGGCTGAAATAATAATGGAAGGTATGCAAAGCATGCAGGGCATTTTTAAGAAAATTCTTTCACATTTCATTTTGGGAATTATTATTCCCAGACCATTTCTTTTCTCCCAATTTTCTCTGGTTTATTTCAGTATTCTTCAATGAATCCATAATTTTTCTTGGGCTAGCATCAATTGTTTAAAAAAATAAGTTTCAGGCTAATTATTGAAGTTTGTGGTGTCTCAGTGTCTTATTCTTTGACCTAGCAAGACAGATACATAGCTGAGTGTGAAGTTTCTCATACACACATTCTCCAGGCTCTCTGACCTTAAGAATCATAGGGTTTTTCTGGACATTGGGAATAGACTTGTTTTGAGAGTCAGTACTTGATGCAGTTTTCCTTAAAAAATAATTAGAGACCAAGCCTAACATAAAATAAAACTAATCTCTACTTTATACTGCCTAATCCCTACAAATTCAGCAATTTCTTTAAGTAACAGCTTCATTGGAGGTAAAATTCACATACCATAAATTTACTATATTAGCATTTAATTCACTGGCTTTTAAAGAGCATCCAACATAGTCTCTCCTTGCTTTGAAGTGTGGACAAAAGAGCCAGATAGGCATAAGGGTGACTGTGGGCAAGCTCTTAAAGCTTGTGGGCAATACTTCTATAAAATGGAGATTACTTTTCTTACTTCGGTGAGCTGCTGTTGAGAAAAAATAAGTATGTATGTGGCACACTTACATAATATACAGCTCTTGTCACACAGTAAGCCCTTGGTAAATATCAGCTGTTATCACTAATTATTCACTCTGTAGAAAAAATTGTCATATCAAAGGTTTTGTTTAAGATACAGTCGCAGCCAGCCAAGAATTTAAAGATGTCTTTACACCAAGGTAGAGGGAAGCTAATAATTGATGAGTGTCCAGCATTCATGAGGCACTGATAAATGCCCTTACATATGAACATTTTAAATGAAAGCATAGCACTGCAAAGTAGGTAGTATTAATCCCACTTTATAGATGAGGGATCTGAAGTTCAGAAAAAGTCAAGTAACTTATCTAAGGTCACCCCAACTAAGTAGCAATGCTGGGCTTGAGATCTAGTTCTACCTGTTTCAAAGACTTAAATGTATCCCACTTGTTTTAGTAATGTGTGTCCTATGGAGAAGGAAATAAATCTAAAGAAGAAAACTCCTACAAACCTATAGATTTAAAGATCTAAAAGATAATTTTAAATGTTATCTAAAGAATAGTTATTTTAAGTGTATATTTTTTAAAAATTAGGTTTATTTATGGAATGGACTTCCATTATTACATAATTTAAATGAGTATACATTAAACATTTATCCATAATACTGATATTTATATCACATATCATCTAATAACTTCTGAGTTCTCATGGATAGGAACATGCAATGATAAATAAGATTTCTAATTTTTATTACCGAAACTTATTTTAAAGCATGAGATACAGTCATTTCCTTATAAGGAAATTTATAAGAAGACACGATCAAAAGTTTCAAAAAGAATAAATCATAAGAGAAAGAATTATATTAGCATTTCAAAACCTGTAAAAGAACATGCATGATTGCAGATAAAAAATGTCAAAGATAAGAGAAATGAGTTTTCCAAAGAGGATAGTTTAATTTTTTAAGGAAAATAAAATATAAAAACATTACCATTAGTTTAGTATTTCTTATTTTGTGTGTGTGTGTGTGTGTGTGTGTGTGTGTGTGTGTGTGTGTGTGCTTTGCTTTATTTATTTATTTATTTATTTTGGTATCATTAATATACAGTTACATTAGCAACATTGTGGTTACTAGATTCCCCCTATTATCAAGTCCCCACCACATACTCCATTACAATCACTGTCCATCAGCATAGTAAGATGCTATAGAATCACTGCTAGTCTTCTCTGTGCTATACTGTCTTCCCCATGGCGCCCCCCTCCCCACGTTATGTGTGCTAATCGTAATGCTCCTTATTCCCCTTGTCCCTCCCTTCCCACCCATCCTCCCTAGTCCTTCTCTCTTTCATAACTGTTAATCCATTCTTGGGTTCTGTGAGTCTGCTGCTGTTTAGTTCCTTCAGTTTCTGCTTTGTTCTTATACTCCATAGATGACTGAAATCATCTGGTACTTGTCTTTCTATGCCTGGCTTATTTCACTGAGGATAATATCCTCTAGCTCCATCCATGTTGTTGTGAATGGTAGGATTTGTTTCCTTCTTATGGCTGAATAATATTCCATTGTGTCTATGTACCATATCTTCTTTATCCACTCATCTACTGATGGACATTTAGGTTGCTTTCATATCTTGGCTATTGTAAATAGTGCTGCGATAAACATAGGGGTGCATATGTCTTTTTGAAATAGGGCCCCTGCATTCCTAGGGTAAATTCCTAGGAGTGGAATTCCTGGGTCAAATAGTATTTCTATTTTGAGTTTTTTGATGAACCTCCACACTGCTTTCCACAGTGGTTGAATTAATTTACATTCCCACCAGCAGTGTATGAGGGTGACCCTTCCATCACATCCTCACCAAAATTTGTTGTCTTTTGGATGGTGGCCATCCTAACTGGTGTGAGGTGATATCTCATTGTGGTTTTAATTTGCATTTCTCTGATGGTTAGTGATGAGGAGCATCTTTTCATGTGCCTGTTGGCCATCTGAATTTCTTCTTTGAAGAAGTGTCTGTTCAAATCCTCTGCCCATTTTTTAATTGGATTATTTACTTTTTCTTTGTTGAGGTGGGTAACCTCTTTGTATATTTTGGATGTCAACCCCTTATCAGATATGTCATTTATGAATATATTCTCCCATACTGTAGGATGCCTTTTTGTTCTAATGATGTCTGTTGCTGTACAGAGGCTTTTTAGTTTGATATAGTCTCACTTGTTCATTTTTGCTTTTGATTCCCTTACCTGGGGAGATATGTTCAAGAAGAAGTTGCTCATGTTTATATTCAAGAGAGTTTTGCCTATGTTTTCTTCTAAGAGTTTTATGATTTCATGACTTACATTCAGGTCTTTGATCCATTTCGAGTTTACTTTTGTGTATGGAGTTAGATAGTAATTTTCTTTCATTCTTTCACATGGAGCTGTCTAGTTTTTCCAGCACTAGCTGTTGAAGATGCTGTCATTTCCCCCACTTTATCATATATTAATTGACCATATATGGTTGGGTTAATATCTGGACTCTCTATTCTGTTTCACTGGTCTTTTCTTCTGCCAGTACCAAATTGTCTTGATCACTGTGGCTTTGTAGTAGAGCTTGAAGTTCGGAAGCGAGATTCCCCCTGCTTTATTCTTCCTTCTCTGGATTGCTTTGGCTATTCGGGGTCTTTTGTGGTTCCATATGAATTTTAGAACTATTTGTTCCTGTTCATTGAAGAATGCTGTTGGTATTTTGATAGGGAGTGCATTGAATCTGTAGATTGCTTTAGCCAGGATGGCCATTTTGACAATATTAATTCTTCATAGCCAAGAGCATGGGATGAATTTCCATTTATTAGTGTCCTCTTTAATTTCTCTTAAGAGTGTCTTATAATTGTCAGGGTATAGGTCTTTCACTTCTTTGGTTAGGTTTATTCCTAGGTATTTTATTCTTTTTGATGTAACTGTGAATGGAATTGTTTTCCTGATATCCCTTTGTGCTAGTTCCTTGTGAGTGTATAGGAATGCAGCAGATTTCTGTGTATTAATTTTGTATCCTGCAACTTTGCTGAATTCAGATATGAGTTCTAGTAGTCTTGAAGTGGAGTCTTTAGGGTTTTTTATGTACAATATCATGTCATCTTCAAACAGTGACAGTTTGACTTCTTCCTTACTAGTTGGATGCCTCGTATTTCTTTGTTTTATCTGATTGCCGTGGCTAGGACCTCCAGTACTATGGTGAATAAAAGCAGGGAGGGTGGGCATCCTTGTCGTCTTCCTGATCTTAGAGGAAAAGCTTTCAGCTTCTTGCTGTTAAGTATGATATTGGCTGTGGGTTTGTCATATATGGCCTTTCTTATGTTGTTGAGGTACTTGCCCTCTATACCCATTTTGTTGAGAGTTTTTATCATGAATGGATGTTGAATTTTGTCGAATGCTTTTTCAGCATCTATGGAGATGATCATGTGGTTTTGTCCTTCTTTTTGCTGATGTGGTAGATGATGTTGATGGATTTTTTAATGTTGTACCATCCTTGCATCCCTCAGATGAATCGCATTTGGTCATGGTGTATGATCCTCTTGATGTATTTTTGAATTTGGTTTGCCAATATTTTGTTGAGTATTTTTGCATGTATGTTCATCAGGGATATTGGTCTGTAGTTTCCTTTTTCTGTGGTGTCTTTGCCTGGTTTTGGTATTAGAGTGATACTGGCTTCATAGAATGAGTTTGGAAGTATTCCCTCCTCTTCTGTTTTTTGGGAAACTTTAAGTAGAATGGATATTATATCTTCTGTATGTCGGATAAAATTCTGCAGTGAATCCATCTGGTCCATGGGTTTTGTTCTTGGGTAGTTTTTTGATTACCGATTCAATTTCATTGGTGGTGATTAGTCTGTTTAGATATTCTGTCATGGAAGGTTGTATTTTTCTAGAAATTTGTCCATTTCTTCTGGGTTATCCAGCTTGTTAGCATATAGATTTTCATAGTATTCTCTAATAATTCTTTGTATTTCTGTGGTGTCCATCCTGATTTTTCCTTTCTCATTTCTGATTCTGTTTATGTGTGTAGATTCT